ATTACCATGCATAGAGATAAGTTAATGTACCAGAACCTGGACGGACAGGAGCCTACTCAGGGAAGGACCTAGATACGACAGACACGGGAAGGACAGTAGATGTATAGACTAGGGGGTTAGACCTTAGATAAGCCAACTTAGCGATTGGCACAGCCTATACACTGAACAATTACAATTACAAGATCCGGCCAAAATGTCACCGGACCATCATGTGCCTGGATGAAGGGCAGTATTCGCTTTTGGAGACATTCGGTTTTGTAAGCCTCCGAGTTCATCATTTTATCAGCAACGAAAACCTTTGTCTTCTGACCGCAGCTGCAAATTCCCTGCCAGATCATTTATTTGAGTGTTAATTTATCCGCAAAACCAAATTTGAATCTGCCAGGGACACCTCCTCGAGCCATCGCCTTGTAAAATGTTGGTTCTGGAAGCTGTTCGAAGTCGGCCTTTACATAGGTTTCATCATCCATATGTATGCACCCACCGGTCAGCCGGTTGTCATACAGCTTTCGAGCATGGGTTCTAGCTACGGTATTCTGCTGAGTGATCGATTTGGTTGCCTACTGGCGCGGTATGCCTTTAAGCCTTCGCGGTAGCGAATTCACTGGACTCGAGCTACGATTGATTTTCCAGGTGAATGAGCACGATTTTTTGACGTAGGACAACGTCTTTGATTTCTATATGGGGGTACACTTTGTGAAAACCGAAAATGGAACATGTAACAAATTAAGAAAGATTTTGAACGTTAATAGCTCAGCTGCCCCTGGTCCAATTTCAATAATTTTATCACCAATGGATCAGAAATATGACTACGCATCGATAACAATGCTTCCGAATGTTGATTTTCAACAAGAAACTATTGAAAAACTGGTAAATGTCCAGCATTGTCCAAAAGCGTCGAACAAATCCACCAATTACCTACATGCATATGCTGCTTCCCCAGCACAGTCGTCAGTAAGACAGTAAGCAGTAGTAAGTAGACGAAACAAGTCGAAGTGGCATTCGCCTCCGATCCTCGGGCGCGTGCGAATAGGGAGGATGGAATTACGTGATATTTTGCACACTCATCGCCATATTCAGAACCACACGCTCCCAACGACCACACCACTGCGTGGTGGTGTTCGGTCGTCGAAATTAGTAGCAGCAGTAGCAGTGCTTTCGGCGTGTGGCGTTGAAAATTGTTCTCCAGTAACAACAAAAGGCTGCCTGCAAGCAGCGAGCTGCAGAGCCCACATAAGCATCCATCAAAGGAGGATTATCTTCATCAACTTTCTCTTTTAAAATAAATACTACAAATTTGATACGCTTACAAATAAAAAACGAAAAGAGTTAAGATAATTGATGATTGATCAATTAAAAGAACTAAATGTTCACATTTGTTCCATCCACTAGCAGTCCTACGTCAAGCTTCCGTTCGTGCCCCTAGACACAGACCCTTCTACTACGCTTCTCTTGCATGGTGGTCTCCAAAAAAGGAAAAAAATACACTGCTGTTGTTATTTATTTTGTCAACAAATAGACGTCAAAACCTTCAGAAAATATCCACGCTGTAGTAAACAAAAGGGTTTGATCTATTACTAAGGCTCTGAACCATTTGGTGGATTATTTTAACTTTTGGTTAAAATTTAACAGATGGAAAGTTATCGATTAACCCTGCTATCCGAGCGTAGTTACTTCTGACAGACAAGAAGTTAAATTTTGACAACCTTGGCTAAGTTCTTCTCGAAAACCGGTCGATCGACAGCACAGGGATTTTCGAACATAGAAAATAACTTTCGAAATGTCACTTTTAACCACAAGCCAAATTTAACGCGGCAAATGGTTCACAGCCTAAGGCTGTGAACCATTTGCCGAGTTAAATTTAACTCGTGGTTAAAAGTGACATTTCGAAAGTTATTTTCTATGTTCGAAAATCCCTGTGCTGTCGATCGACCGGTTTTCGAGCCACGGTTGTCAAAATTTAACTTCTTGTCTGTCAGAAATAACCATACTCGGAGAGCAGGGTTAATCGATAACTTTCCATCTGTCAAATTTTAACCAAAAGTTAAAATAATCCACCAAATGGTTCAGAGCCTAAGTGGGCCATGATTTACTTATAAACCGCGCAGATTTTCGGAAGCTTTCAATGGAGAATTCCAAAAGTTTGTAGGAATTTCTAGAGCGTTATGAAGAAAATTAAAACGGAATACCAGAGAAAGTATCAAGATGGATTTTGAGGACATTCTTGACAAAAAACTTCTGTGTAAGGTTTTAAGATAATTCTGAAATAAACAAATATTCAAAATTCAAGGCACAGAAAAAAAATCAAGTTCCAGATTTGGTAAAGTTTTTAAAACTACGGAACTTATAAAAATGGGTGAATTCTCATGCTAAGAAGAGATTTTAATACCTCAGTTCATCAAGACTCTGGGAATCAGATTTGTGAAATGCCAGTCTTTTAATTTATAACTTCCGCGCACCTGATAGCCTCCTGCGCTTAAAATAAGTACACATTACTATTTTCGCATTTAGTGCAAATTCATGAGTGTAGCTTGCCAGTACTGTTCTAAAGCTGCTACTACTTTGACATTTGTTATTTTTCTATTGTGCGATTATGTTTTGCACAGGAGTCTAAACTGGTGCAAAATGCGCATTATGCCTGAGAATAAAACCTTTGGCTCTGCACATTTTTAAAAAATCTTGAACTAAAATAAATGTTTGTAACTTAAGGACATTGACGTTTTTGACGACATTCCACACTGAGCAAAAATTAAATATTGCAGGCTTATAAAAAATGTCCAAGATTCATACACACTTAGAAATAACTACTTTTACACGAGACGTAAATCATGGAACGTAAACAAACATTTAATGTAAAATTAAGTGTTCTCAAACCTAAACATAAGCAACTCGACGAAGAGAACGTTTGATTGAATTGATTTTCTCGTTTCTTTCAACTGATTCTAATGTCAAAAGGGCCGCTTACATGTGACGGTCTCAGTGAACCGAAATTTACATGCCTTTTCGTTGCATGTAGAATAAGAAATGATTTTGCAATGCTGATTTCTCTTACTTTGTGTTTTTTTTTTTCACTTCATTCTAGATTTTTCACAGTAGTTTTCGAAACCTGACTACATGAATCCTGATGAATGTGGGCGTCTAAGTGGAATACCTGTATAATGAGAGAGAGAAGGATTAGTATTTTCCATTTAATTCCACTACTTTATTTGCTTATCCTTGACAGATACGCGTATTTCGTCTACAATGTGCAGACTTCTTCAGTGTCTTGTACTAATTTTACTAAACATTAGTTTTGCTGAAAATCTACCATTTCCTGATTTCTGCTGTTGTGAAATTTACTTTACTTTTCAAATGATTAATTTCTTCACAGATATTCAAATGTCTTCAAAATGATCGTTAAACCAATTTTACAAATTTGGTTTTATCGCAGTCTTGTTGCCAATGATAGTGGGCTTATAGAATAGTTTAAAAACTTGATTAACTTGGGTTGAATCCATATGTCAATAAGTAGTTGTACACATCTTCTTCTGGTTTTCAGTTCTGGCTTACTGAAAACAAATGAGACGGCTTTCTAGTCATAAAGTGCATTGGAAAAAATCACACTTAGTTTAAAAATTCACCGAACGTACATTACAGAAAACAGTTCAATTCAGATCACAATCTTCACCAACGTGAGTGGTTCGCGGTTCAAGAGCTCAATGGATTACCAATATATTATTACGAAATGCTCCGTTGGTTTTCTTCCACCTGGTCATATTATCCCAACACCAAAGTATCACAATCCTAGACTCTCATCTATATAACGGGTGTTCAATAAAAAATGAGAATAATGTCAGTGCCGTCCAGCGCTCTTGTGAGAGCATCGCGACTAAGTTGCGTCATATGGTTGACCAGGGTCCCTTCTCTAATATTCATTGACGTTTTTTTTTGATGAATAAACATTATGTATTTAATAAAAAATACTGAATTCGTTGAAAAAAAAATTTTTTTACTAGCTATATGACTGAAAAAATTCTCATTTTTTATTGAACACCCGTTATGTAAAAAAAAATTAAAACTTCTTTTATGTAGGCCTGCATTTTGTAAATTTTAGGTCTCAAGGGCAATATTTCTCAATATTATTAAATGTACAACTTTAGCCAAGAAACCCTCTGCCTTAGCTGCAAAAAGACTGCAGAGGCTAAAAGCCAGGTAAAACACAATAAGGTGCGTTCTTTTTATTCATACGATTTGGTGTGACATTCGGGCTAATCTCTCTCCATTTGTGTAAGCATAAATAAATCAATAGTTCTGTTAAATGCAATTTCGATATCATTTGATATGTTACGATGTTTGGGTGGATTTAGCGCGAATTTTATTTCAAATTTCTCGTAACAACCTTGTATTTATCGTACATAAATTCTACCATCTTTGGTTTTTTTAAATACCACTTTTATTTTTTGTGTTAAACCGAAAGAATGTGTCCTCTTATACACATGCAGTACCATAGTCACAAAGCTCGTCACCGCTGCTGGTGATTCACCTAGGGGCCACATAATGCAAAGTACACAATTACAGCCAACTTGTTCCGTGGTACATACGCCGAACATCCACAGCTTGTTCTAAGTACATTCTCAGCAATTAGCATAAGGTGTGCTTCCTAGCCGAAGGTAGTTTTTTTATCACAGAATGCACTTCATTCATACAGCACTCACAAATTATCAAGTGAAGTTAGCTCTAAACACTATATGCACTAGGGCCCGTCTTAGATGTTTCCACTATGAACTTCTACTACAATTCAACCCACTCCACCCAAGCCACCCTACCGCAGCAACCGAAAGTAGTTACAACCGAATCGTTTTGTATTCAACGTGTTGCATATATTCACTCGCTTAGAAGCCCATAGGAGCTACTCAGCCAGCGGCAGTAACTCGGCATGTGTGTAAGTACGCGCGTGAAAAGAGGTATTGTTTAGAAGCGTCTTTGATTACTATCATCCATCGTCTATCAGCATGTACCTCTACCTACCTAACCTGTGAACGCTAAATACTGAAGGGACCCCTCTCTGCTGAAGTCCGAACCTGTTTGGGACCGAGCGCGAAAAGCTCTAAACGGCGCATGGAAAATTATTTATTGTTTAACCGTCGAACGGAACGGAACGGAACGGAACGCCGAAAAAGAGCGTCGGAAAAATTGACTGTCGTGTCGCGTCGATTGCCAAGTGTGAAAATTGTGTCTTGCTCATGCGATAAGAAATGCAAAAATGAAAGTGAAACTATTGCCTTTCCCGGGGGTAGAATGTGCGAAACAATGACACCAAGTGAACCGATCGCCCGTTACGAAGAGTTTGGATGAAAATAAGTGTCATTTGAGTGCTTTGAGGTGAAGGGGGTACCATCAGTGTAGTGAATCCGATAGATTTCCATCGTTTAGAGTATTAGAGTATATGTTATTATATTTTTACTGTGTTCAACGAAAAACCGAAGCACACGCAATATGGTTAAGCCGGCATCCAGAATATTTATTAAGTTTCTCGAATTAGTAAGTGGATTGTATTTTGTGCACAAAGCTGAAGTGATCCGTTGAAAATGGATAGGAGGAAGGGGCGAAAATTAATTGTGACTATTGCTTTCCATTGCAGTTGGGATGTGTTGCGTGTATAATCACCAAAATCATCACCGACCATGAGTCACGGCGAGTGTTCGTGCGGAATCAGAAATTATCTAGGTAAGACGGATATGATCTTAGTTATAAAATTTATTCACTTCATTTGCTATAAACAGAATAATTAGAAACGATTTAAAACAAGCACTATAACTTGCGATTTGCTGCGAGCGTTTTTAACTTTACATTACTGATGGAAATTGAAGTACTTATATCGATTTCCATAAATATTAATTCATAGCTTACACAACACAAATTAATGTATATTTCAGTTCAATATATTGCACACAAATGGAACGTCATATATCACACATGTAAAAATATGAGATATTTTATAAAACGTCCATATTTTCGTCTGCTTGCGTAAAAAGGAATACAAGCCCTCACGCATACACGGTGACCAAAAAACCGGGAAATCTGTGAAAGGCCAGGAATTCAAAATCACCGGAAAAAAAATCCGTGAATTTCAAAAATCTATATGTAATAAATGTTAACTGCAGCAGAAGCTTGTGTTTTTTGTAGGAATAGGAATTTGAGCGGGGTCCTCTCTGTTTATACTCTTTATTATGACTATGATTGCCCTGAAAAGAACCTTTTGAAATGAATTTTAGTTGGGAAATGTTCAGAAATTTAAATCTTTTGGAAAATATTGGTGGCCCTGAAAAGGGTCGATGGTAGTACAGGCTTAAAACCTTTGGAAGATGATGGTGACGTGGAGGCAGCTGGATCAGCAAATCGGACCGGACAACCCCATATTCTTTGATTCAATGATTGGGCACTCGCAAGAGTCTCGGCCAGAGCTGGTAAATATCACGGCCGTCATGTGACAATGAGAAAACTGGTCCTCTCAATATTACGAGACGAAACGACCGATCATTAGTTTTCTTGTCATTTTCCAATGATCCAGGACTCGTGAGAATAATTCTTAAGCGGTTTTTACATCTACATTTCTAACTGATTTAGATTAAATCAAGCAAGTAACCGTATGTAATCGGTAGAGTGAATATATTATTACGATTTTCTCGGTATAAGTAACTAGTAATTACGATGATCACAACACTGTCACGTTTTTGTCATGACGAAAAATTCGATGAGATTTTGAAGAAAATCTCTATCATCGTTTTCTCATCCGATGATTGTGACAGAAATATCTCTGTAAATAACGCGTGAGATCTTTCATTGAAAATGACATTTGTCAGCCCTGGACTCGGCCCAATTGGTGTCTGCGACGGGTTGGAAGGCCGCAGAATATCAGTGTCCATCCAGCTAAAGCTCGTCCCCTTTTTAGTTTTTCTCGTTAAACTCCTTCTTTCAACAAGAAGGGGGAGGTAGCTCATCGATTCTTCCGGTTCGCCTCCTAGCATCGTGCTATAAGGTACCAGGCGATAACCAGGGTAGTTGATCGATAGCTCGATGACGTCATTTCGTTGGCGTCTGCTATGGGAAATTCTCATAGCAGGTGTTGACGATGGGACGTTGTCGAGTTGTTGAATAGCAACTATCGTGGTAACTCATCGATTACCTGTCGATCTGCCAAATTTGGAAAGACGTCTGCATTGAATTGTCTCATATAATAATATTCCGCCCACTATATCACACGAAATTGCGAGTAGTTGAGTGGAATGGAGATAAGTTAAGCATTGGGTACAGGACCAAGTCTCCCCTGGGTGGTGCCAGAAGATGAGCGCAATAGAATCATCAAGTTGCCATAAGGCACGGAACGAGACTATTGCATGGCTGGGTAGTCAAAGTCTTCCATTCGTTAGTCATTTCAGGTGGATTAGAACAGGTTTAGGTTTAGGGTGGGCGTTGGCCAGATTTGGATAGGATAGGATAATCCTAAATAGGACCTAGATTATTTAATACACTAGTAACCTCAACTTCTGTCACAATGTTTCATTGTGACTAATCAACACGCAATGGGTAAAATATCAAATTTGCGGTAAATTTGAAAAAAGGGAACTTGGAGTGTAGAGCGCACTGCCCACTGGACGATTCTGAAGCCTGACCAAGTGAGTGGGTTACGGGTTTATTTGATTGTACGTCATTTCCAAGTTATATATAGATACATTCATACCATTGGCATTTTGTATTTGAGATAAGACAGAGACAGATCGTTATTACATTTTTTTTTGCTGTGCACTACACCACCGGAGCCAGCAAAGTTCAACAATCCATCGTTGCTTATGCCTTTGTTGTCGTTATGCCTTTTGTTCTCGCGTAACTTTTGAAAAGGGCCTATTTATAGCCTGAACAATACGTAAAGAGCAAATTGAAACATTGAACGTCGCGTGAAAGTGGAACTTAATGAAGGCCTAAGTACTTTTTCGTAGTTTTTAGTTTTCGGATTTGAAAGATCGATGGTTACAGTGGCCTGCTTACTGAGCAGAAAAACGCGGTCCCAGGTCAGATTTATGGTAAAATCGCTTGTGTATCGTGTATTTTGCGAAACTCGTTGTTGTCGTTGGTTCCGGATTTGAATGTATACACAAATTTGAGCAACGGTATTATGTGATATGAGGGGCTCGGTGGCCTTAGAGCAACCGTTTTTGCTTACTGAGCAGAACATCATGAGTCTAATCTCAGGCCCATCCACATTCAAGATCCGTCAATCGTTTTATTTGTTAATATGACTAAATGGTAATAACAGCAACTCGGTGATTAAAAAGGTGCTCGTCTGCCTAGTGGCAAACGTTTTTGCTTACTGAGCAGAAGACCGTGGGTTTAGTCCCAAGCTCCTTCGCGTTATATGATCATTAGGACATCAATTCAGCTTATCGTTTACCAAAACGAACCCTGCTGCAAACCCAACCCTCTTATCCAACATCCCAGTGATTCCTCGTGGAAGTGCAGAGGTGTTCTCGGCTTCCATCAAAGCGAGTTTCATGTCAACACAATCCTTCCCCTTCCTTTCTTGACCTGTGTTCGGGCGCGGCCGGCGCTGGTATTACCTAATTTAAGATCACCAGTTTTTACACATTGAGGATGATTGCTAGTCCCAAGCATCGTCTATTGGTTCGCTGTGTAATTACAGCTGATCTGGCAGTAACAGAGTAGCAACCGTGGGCGGTCAATCAAGCTCAAGCTCAAGCTCAACTCCTTCTTTCAACAAGTTGGTAAATCTTAGCGTTCAGCAGAAAGACGCGAATTTATGATCTTTTTTCACGTCATGGTTCTTCTGTATGTCTGTTAGTAGTAGTAGTAAAATTTACGTTTATTTGCTGATTTTTTTTTTATGTTTAAACATTTGGTTGAAATACAGTGGTGACCCGATTTTGTCAGCCCCCGATTTTGTTTACCCCCGATTTTGTCTACCCACGATTTTGTCAGCCTATATGATTCAATTAGTTTTGGTTGAGGTGGACTGTTTTGTACAGTCGTATTCGTATTTTATTGATTATCGAGCTCAATAATGACATTTTTCGAGAATTAAATCTGCAGTGGTGGCAAGATCGAAGCAGGGGGGAGGAGGGTTGAGGGGCTAGTTGAAAATTATGTACGTTATGCATGTGTGTGTGTGTTTTTTTATAGTAAGGTTTAGGAAAGCTTCAAGAAGCCTGGCCTGTAGTGAAGTTGGCACGGTGTGGTATCCACTCCAACTCCACTAAAACCCATTCCTTACTCTCTCCTCTGCCTGGATCCCCCCGGGACCACTGTGAAGCGACTACTTCGGGGGGTGGCTGTGCTCATGCACTTGTTGTACTCTCAGCGCTAGTTGGCGTTGCTTGATCGCTGCTCTTCTCTCCATTTACGCTGCAGCTCCGACATAATCTGCGTGATTGCCCTACTGACGGAATTCCAAGTGTCCTCCTCGACACATTTCAACGACGACATTCTCCACGTTAAGGACGGGCATCTCCGTTCGCACTGCCTCGAACCTTGGACAGTCGAAGACCACATGCTCCGGCGTTTAATCGACGTTGCCACACTCCGGACCGAGGGGTGACGCTGCGTGTCCGAACCGATGCAGGTATTTCCTGAAGCAGCCGTGGCCAGACAGGAACTGCGTTAGGTGGAAATTGACTTCTCCGTGTTTTCTGTTCACCCAGGTCGCAAGAATCGGTATTAGTCTATGTGTCCATCTACCGTTCTCCGTCGTGTTCCACTCCTGTTGCCACTTAGCCCTCACAACTTTCCGTACTCTTCCGGCTTCTCTCCACCTGTAGCACTCGCTGTCTTCCGCCAGGGTGATGCCGATTGGGATCATACCGGCGATAACGCATACTGCTTCCGACGAGATGGTTCTGTACGCACTCACGACTCGCATGGCCATGAGCCCGAACGTACTGCTCAGTTTCCTTTGGTTCTGCTTCGTTTCCAGCGCTGGACCCCAGGCTGGACCTCCATATCTCAGTATCGATGATGACACGGTGGCCAGAAGACACCTCTTGCCACTGCTTGGACCAGCGTTGTTCGGCATGATTCTAGCTATCGCGTTGATGGCCTTTAAAGCCTTCTCACAGGCATATTCGACGTGGCTGTTGAAGTTTAGCCGGTCATCGATCATCACTCCCAGGTATTTTAACACACGCTTCGAGGCTATGGTGTGCTCCCCGACGGTAATTTCTGCCCGCTGTACCGCTTTACAGTTACTGACCAATAACACTTCCGTTTTGTGGTGGGCTATCTGCAGCTTCGCTCCTTGCATCCAGTTACCAATCATGTCGATTGCCTCGGTTGACAACACTTCCACCTCTTCCAGCGTCTCGCCTGTTACCGTCAAGACGACGTCGTCTGGAAAGCCAACGATCTCAACTCCTTTGGGCAGTTTCAGCGTTAGCACGCCGTTGTACATTCCATTCCAGAGCGTTGGACCAAGGATGGAGCCTTGTGGAACTCCCGCTGTGATCCTAATCGATCTCAGTCCCATGTCTGTCTCGTAGACCAGAACCCGGTTCTGGAAATAACTTCTCAGGATACTGCACAGGTAGTCAAGGACCCTCATTATATGCAGTGCTTCGGCGATGGCCTCCCAGCTGGCGCTGTTGAACGCATTCTTGACGTCGATCGTTATCACGGCGCAATATCGATCTCCTCCCCGCTTCTGTTTGGACGCCTTCTCAGCTCTCTCGACCACTGTCCGAATTGCATCCACCGTCGATCTCCCTTTCCGGAATCCGAACTGCCTCTCCGACAATCCGTGCTCAATCTCCGTGTATTTCGTCAGCCTGTTTAGGATGGCCTCCTCTCCAAGAGTTTTCCGAGTGTATCCAGCAGGCATATAGGACTGTACGATGCTGGATCCCCCGGCGGTTTTCCTGGTTTAGGCAGCAACACTAGCTTCTGTATCTTCCACCTGTCAGGGACAATGTCCGGGGATGACTGGATCGCCGCTTTCAACGCTACGTTGGGGACTCCATCCGGACCGGGAGCTTTCTTCACCTTCAATCCTTTCGCCACTGCTACGAGTTCCTCGTTGGTGACTTCGACGTTATCTCCCTCTCCTTCTCCGTACGGTGTAGGTGGCCAGGTTGTTGGGTCGTGCTTCGGGAAAAGTCCTTCCACGATGACTTTCAGCTTCCCTGGGCACATTTCAGCGGGCATCGTTGGACCTCTGATCTTCGCCACCACGACTCGGTATGCGTCGCCCCAGGGGTTGGCATCAGCATCTCGACACAGCTCCTTAAAACAGTTCGACTTGCTCTGCTTAATCTTTCGTTTAAGTGCAGCCCTGGCCGCTCGAAACACTACTCTTCGTCCCTCTCTGTCTGCTTCCGTTCCTGCTCTCTGAACACGTCTTCTGGCTCTGAGACAACTAGCGCGGAGAGTGCTAAGTGCCTCGTTCCACCAGTAGACTGGACGCCGTCTGTTATTCGGCTCCAGTTTACTCGGCATGGTCGTGTCACATGCTCTCACTAACGTTTCTGTCAGCTCGTTCGCATTTAGATATGTGGAACTCCAGCCCACACGAAGTTCCACATTCGGTCTCCAGTTCTCGTCCTCCGTACTGCCACAGTATTCCGTTGGCCGATGCCATATCGTATCGCCTGATGGTCGTTATGGGTATATCCTTAGCACACTCTCCAATCTATGTTTGCCATCAGCGACGGACTGCAGAAAGTAACGTCGATAATGGATTCCCGGCCATCTCTGCGAAAAGTGCTGCTGGTGCCTTTATTGGCCAGCATATCTTCCAGTTTTGCCAGAGCTTCCAGCAGACTGTGCATTGGAACATCTGCTTCCCCACTCCACTGCCCAAGCATTGAAGTCTCCTCCGATGACTACCGGTCGTCGTCCGATCAGCTCTTCGGTAAGTCCATCCAGCATCTCATGGAACTTCTCCATCGCCCATCTGGGGGGTGCGTAACAACTATACATGAAGATTCAGTTGATTTTGGCGATAACGAAACCTTCGTATGAGCTCGCAAC